CTTTTCAAGAGGATTAAAATCCAACGATGCTCAGTATCTATAAGTCATTATTGAAATAGGGACTATTTGCCTCTGAAATATTTTATGGTTAAATGTATTATTCCAATATGAATTTTATTTTGTTGGATTAAAGTTGTTTGTTTGAATAAAGGAGCTGGCGCATAAGACTTACTACTATTATTAATAGTCGTTGGTATGGCGAGCAGGCGGCGCGGCGTCGTAGTGTCTGTTTCTGTTAGTTTGATTAGTTCATTTTATATTATAGTTTGAGGTCTCTCACCTACCCCACTCATTGATGAAAAAACATTCATAGTATATGAACATTAAATGTTATAGATAATTTTGAGATATATTATCATTATTGTTGCATTTCCATACTTTCAAGTATATCAGTCGATATCAAAGTAAGAGATTCAAAATATTCATGAAGATCAAAAAATGCATTTCATACATCGACTGTGTGTTGAATAATAAAACAAACAAAATCTAGTAAAACACAAAAATCTGGTAGGTAAATATAAAAAAAAACCTAGTAAAAATCAAAACCTAGTAAACACAATTAAGTAGTTACAATATGAGATAAGTAGCAAACTTTCTTTAATGTACCTATTTTTGCATACATAACATTCTACTGCTTCTTTTGAGCAGCAAAAATTTGACATTTATCAATCTGGAATCAGTTCGAAGTAGTATAGTAGAAGTATAGATTAGATTTTAAAACAACAGAGCTTTCTTCTTGCCGCAAAAATTGTGTTTTAACTGGACGCAGTCGACAACATACGGTACTTATTTGAATTTGACGAATATAATCATATGGCTCATACGAATTTCCAATCATTAATCAGTAAGAGACTTGAAATCGGCTAGTTTCTAATCTATAGGTAATAAATTTGATGTTTTGTGTTGAACATTAGCCTTAAATTATGAATTCATTATAAGTTAAATAACAGGCACGATGTTGTTAATTCCTTCTGCACAGAAAAAAATATATAAATGGTGCTTCAGTGTGTAAAGATTGTTATTATTTATTAAAAATGTAAGGAGCATACCGAAAGTAATGACATTGTGGGCCTCTCTGTGTAACAGAGTATTGAAATGGCTTGTGTAGGGCTTAAACTTTAATAAGTGTCTACAGGTTAGCCCCCAAACTTGTTAAATGATTCCTTTGAAAATCAAATATAAAAAGGTTTTACCGAAGCTTTCTTTAACTAATAACTATATGTATTTTAATCCATGTATTAATATGTCTGTAGAAAATACATATTTATCGCTTGACGCCCATGCGATTATACTGCGATTTATTAGCAGGCGAATGATCCCGCGGCCCACCTGATGGTAAGTTGCTCACCATCGCTCACAAGAGCGAAATAAAAAAAATTAAATAAAAAATGCTGATTGTCCATACGATCAGCATTTCGAATAGTAAACTGATAAAGTCCTATACAAGTAATTATTAAAAACTGGATAATAGGGATGATACCTAAATATAAACTTAGTTTATACATCATATAATCATTTCGAAGAAGCTTCAAGACCGTGCTACTACTTAGAGATTACTGCACAATAGTAATTTATAGCTTTGCCTTTTGAATGTGTTCATTGCATTCAATATGCTTTCAGGTAAAGATTCGATTAGAATTTTCGCTCAATTCAATGTCGACGTAACACATGTTTAAAGATAGTACCTATACAATTCACACGTATAACAATGGTTTTCGATATGCTCGACTGACTTTTCGTGGCTTGCAACATTATTTTAAATATTATCGAAATTCTTAATGTGACAAATTGACAAACTTTTATTGGCGGTCTCATCTATTTTAACCACAAACCAATCACATATCGTTAATTGAAGTGTCAAGTGGTCTTTATCTTCAGAATCTTTCGCATCATGTGTCATGTTGAGTATGATCAATTTATGTGACATCGTGTGAAATAAAAAAAATGCACTCTACCCATTTAGGATAGCAGCTAATTTTCGGTTTTAAACGCGGGGCTAAATAATAATAGCTCTCTACGAAATTGCCGTTTAGTATAAAGTTCATTTAAGGCCTTCGATCATCAATAGTTTAAGGCCATTTAAGTTTAGAATTTATTGTCAGCCCTACATAAATTACGTTTCAAAGTAAATTAACCCACAGACACAGCCCACTGAGATTCTCGCCGGATTTTCTCAGTAGTGGGTCGCGTTTCCGATCCGGCGGTAGATTCTGCGAAGCACTGTTCTTGTTAGGGTAAGTGCTAGCAACGTCGTCAGGTTTGAGCACTGTGAGCTCAACTACTTGTTAGGTTATGTTGACGTAGCTTCTCAAGGTAATCAGCTTAGGTATTTATTTTTTATTTTTTTTATTGCCTTTGTAGGCAGACGAGCATACGGCCCACCTGATGGTGAGTGGTTACCGTCGCCCATGGACTTCAGCAATGCCAAGGGCAGAGACCAGCCGCTGACTACCGCTAGGTAGGAAAATAAAAGCTAGATTCATCGAACCAGTAGATGAACTCACCGGGCTCTAACCAGAGACGTTGGTAACAACAGCGCTAGAAAGAGCAGTGCTTCGCAAAGTTGTTTTTTCTCTCTACCTAAGCTGATGGCCTTGATAGGCAATTTCAGCGTAACTCTAACAAGTAGGTGAGCCCACGGTGCTCAAACCTGATGACGTTGCTAACATTAACTCTAGCAAAAGCAGTGCTTCGCAGAATCTACCACCGTATCGGAAACGCGACCCATTGAGAAGATCCGGCGAGAAACTCAGTGGGCTGTGTCTGTGGGTTAATTTACTCGCCGAGCTCTTCGTCGCAAGCAAAAGGTTCGACTTGTATAGGTATAGGTATGTAAGCATATTTTTTTTATTTTTATTTATTGCTTAGATGGGTGGACGAGCTCACAGCCCGCCTGGTGTTAAGTTGTTACTGGAGCCCTTATACATCTACAACGTAAATGCGCCACCCACCTTAAAATATGGAATAACATCGTGTAATAAAAATCAAACCCGCAAAATTATAATTTGCGTAATCACTGGTGGTAGGACCTCATGCCAGTCCGCACGGGTAGGTACCATCACCGTGCCTATTTCTGCCGTGAACCAGTAATGCTTTTCGCCTTGAAGGGTGGGGCAGCCGTTGTAACTATACTTGAGAGTTTAGAAATTATGTCTCAAAGTGGTCGGCCCATTTACGTTATAGATGTCTATGGGCTCTCCTCCTCCTTGCGTCGGTTTCCTCATTACTGAGGGTCGTGGTCATGGCCTTGAAACAGTTTAAATGTTTCTCTGTCCATGACTCTCTTGGGATGTAATTGTGGTGGGTTCCCACGTCCTTCCACATCAGTATTTCGAAGGGATTTAGTCCTTCACGGCAAACTGGTCCCGCTCCGGGTCTCTGGTTGTATCCGGGGGCTGGGTTATTTCCCGCCGCCCAGTGCTCGGCGTTGACGTTTTACGGTAGGAATGTCCAGCTCTACTCAACCCTCCTCTTTTCTCATCCGGGCTTGGGACCGGCAATGGCAGAGTTAATGGGCTCTAGTAACCACTTAACACCAGGTGGGCTGAGAGCTCGTCCACCCATCTAAGCAATAAAAATAAAGAAATAAAAGCTACGACAAATTTATAGTAAAATTTATATTTTAAATGTTTTTAAACTCCGATACATCAAACAAGTCAAACGTATGAACTGCGAAAACTTAGCTGTGTAAGGTGTGAGAATAAATGTTTTATTGATCTAATTACTTGAAATATATAAATAAAATAAAAAATATTTACGTATTTGTATTATTTTTAATAAGTTCGTATAACTAGTTATCTCACCGCCTGGCGGGGCCCCATTTCAAGCATAAATTAAATCAATCAACCAATGATCGTTGATACCTCTTGAGAAACGTTAAAGCACAATGACTTTAAATTAAAGCTCCATCGAGGCATTGATGTACTAGAATATAGTGAAATTTCAGAAAGTCAATGTAATAATATTCAACACGCCAAGAAGAATAAGAATGTTTTTAATTCTAAATAAAAAAGACAAATTACTGCTTAAGTTTCTTTGTAAATACCTATATTTCAATTTTAATATAATTAATGGCCGTTGGTTTGTTTCAAAAACTGCTGTATGCCGCAATGCATTTCTGTTAGACGCCAGCAAAAGCGGACGCGGCGAACGGCGTGGTCGGCCGTTAACAAAAAAACAACTTTCCAAGAAACGACGATGGCGCTAAGTTTACGAAGCATGCCAAAACGTCACAAGCACAACGGTTAGCTTCATAACTTGAGGTCTTCTGCTTCCGTTAAATCCTGGGACGAAATAACTTGTTGATGTGCGTTGCGGGTGGGACTGATGTGAGCGGGTGTAAGAGGGGCTAGCGCCGCCGAGCGACGGCCTGTCTACGGCGGCGAGCCGGCGACACCCTGTCTGCCACGGTCGGCGGTGTTGCCGTTTCGCACACATTCCTATCCGCCCGCACCCCTCTGAATGGTTATAAGCCCGGCCGTGCGTACAAAGCGTCAACGTCGCATGCAAACTTGTTTCGTAAACGGATGTGGCAGCGACCGGGGCAGGGCAAGATTATTTGTCTCGCTCTCCAGGCTAAAGTGTAGGTTGAATGAAAAAGACAGCAATAGTGGCGCTACGTGCTATCGGCTCCCACTTGCGGCATTTTTTCACGCCGAGAATGAGGCGAGATTACTGTCTTAGGCTATGTACACATACCTTAATTTTAAATTATAAAAAAATATATAAAATGGTTAAACCGATTTTTAAGTGATTATTTAAAAACTTCTCTTTCTAAATTATGAAATTTAACTATAAATCCCACATTAAACAGACTTTTAAACCAATATTTCCTATGGAATATCGTTGCGTGAAGTTCATGAAGTTTTAACTTAACTAAATTATATTGCCGATTAAACACATCGTAAAAGCTTTTTGTAGTGTGTAAAATAAAGGTACACTAAGCGTGGTACAAAGGTTGATTGTTTTTTTTTTTCGTTCGTTGGTATGTCTCTAGCCTTATGCTATATGAGGCTCGCACACTCACGCACGTCGGACAGGCAGCAACATCCGCGGCCTGCGCGACTCCCGCTCTGAAGTCTGAGCGAGCAGTCAGTTCGGCGCCGTCAACCAACACGCGCACACGTATCCACAGTAAAATGGCAGCCGCCCACACGCACCCTGCCCCCGCGCCCTCAGACCGTCGCGCTGAGGGCCGAGCTGGTTCCCGCCGTATTTTTCCACCACAATTTAAACTACAAGTCCTTGAAGCGTACAGACGTGATTCCCAATGTAGAGGAAACCAACGTGCCACCGCTAGGAAGTTTGGCATCCATCGCAGACAGATCCAAAAGTGGCTACAAGCTGAACCTGCTTTGCGAGCGGCGCTGTTAAGGAGAGCTCCACAGCCGGCGCCATCACCTCCTCCATATGCTGCTGGTTCCCCCGAAAGTGCAAGATTACCTACACCACCTCCACCTCCTACGATGCCAACGTCAGTTTCATTGCCTACACCTCTACCTGTTCAAGCATTGGTACAGCCGTCAACAGAACCTATAGATTTATCAGTACGGAGATGTTCACCGCTAACGTTAGCGCATCCACCAGTTGCACCTGAACCACCTCGCAAGCCGTTTAAATTATTCCGACCTTACTTACTTGAAGATGAAGATGAGAAGCGACCATCAATCGCTTCATTGCCAGTTTCGAATACAGGATATGTTTCTGCGTTTGTGCCAGTACAAAGTGCAGCGGGTTGCGCCTTGACCGCGTGTTCTGCTCCTCATTGGTGTGCAGCTATGCCCTCTTACTCGGCTCCTTTGAGATGAGAGGACGCCGAAGGGGCTGAGCTCCGTATTTACTGTGATCTAGTCGCCGACGCCCGCTTGGCGCCATCTGGGGCGTAGCCCTAAATCACTGTGCCTTAACATACACGCCGCCATAGTGCATTATGCCGTCAACCTTAAATGACTGCTTATTTTGTGTATTAAATATTAGAATGTATTTTTATAAGTGCAGTTTATGAAAGAGTACCTACATATTATGAAATGTTATTACTATACACTATTATATAAAATAAAGAGAGTTGTTTTAAAATGTACCTCTACTTTCATTGCCTTTAATTTTCTTGTTACGCTTGGCAGGTAGCGCTGGCGCTTAAATACATATTGACTACCTGTTGGTCCCATTCTGCTGTTAAACTTTGTTCTTTAGAACGAGATGTTATTCAAATTAAAATACATCATACAAAATAAGGAAGCAATCAAGCTCAAAATTAAGAAAAAAAATGTGAAAATGTGCTTTTCACAATGACCAGCTTAAAATTAATATGGATGAACTTGAACGGTGTTATTGTAAGTTTTTTTTTACAAAGTTATAGTAGTTAATTACATCTATAGTGTAATAAAATTCAAGTTGAATGAAAATAAATTAAATAATCAGCACATAAACTATACCTATAATGTGCTTGGGTTAAGGCCTCATTGGGCTTATTTTCATTGACTTTCTGCACTATAACGATAAAAATAATCATAAATTTAATATGAATTCTAATAGATATTTTTTAACGTGACGTGTTGTCTTCCAAAATATTCTCATGAACAGATATCATATTGTTAGACAGTTTGATTTAGCGTTTATTATTTTAATTTTATCGATTTGGTAAGGTAAAGTTCACATTTGTATTGGTATGTGAAGTTCTCAATTGAAAAAGCCCGAAATTATAAACTATACAAAAAAAATCCATAACAGAGTTTATTGGCGTAGCTAGGGAATAGTAATCCAGTTAAAAGATGATTTAATTTTTGAAGGGTTGATAGATTTTTCTTAAATTAAAAAATTAACATCCGTTTAGTACTTAATCGATAAGTTTAGTAACACTTGACAATGCGACAGCGAGGATTATGAATATATTAACAATTTAAGTAGAACTGAAATGGTCGTGTCGTGGTCGTAGCGCGGTGATAGACGTAAAATATGGATGTGTCACGCATGGTTTACATAATTCGGACAAACAAACACTAACAAGTGCTACGTTTAATTGTACTTTTATATCATTTTATAGACAAATAATAATATGAATAATGGTTATAAATACTATATAAGTAAAAATAATAGGCTTGATACTTTCTAGATATGTATTTGCATTGGTGTCCATTTATCTATATAATACTTTTCAAAAGGTCTGTAAATATTTATGATTCGTCTCGCAAACAGCAAATATTCTCCTTATTACGGATAGGTATTTACAATATGTACAAGAATTATTTTTTAAACGTGATCATTCGTGATCAAGCTTTCCATTATCATTTCAGTCATTGTAATCAACGGAAAGAAACTTCAGTAAGTAGTTAATTTCGTTTGTTATCAGGCGATAAGACGGAGAGTTTCAAATTATTTGATTGGTTGATTCTATGATTGGCCATTTCAGTGATTAGTCCATTGAAACGTCAAACATTAAATTTTCCTTCATGATAATATGACTTAAAATGATATTTTTTTTACCATAAGTGTATCATCAATTTTTTGGATGGAGAGAATTAATATTACATTTAATTATTATTATATTGTCCACTAGCGTGTTGAAGAGGGATTTATTATGCGAATTTTAAATAAATGTAATCGATTTTAAGAGGAAAGTAAAAGACATTGGATTGAAACTTTCAAATGAAATAAATATACCTAGATATAGAGGAACCGAGGGAACCGGCGGTCGTGTTGCTGGCGGCCGCCGGTCCGGCGTCGGGGGGACGGCGGGATGGATGTAATGTGCACTGCGTAAACCCTGTCCCGCCGTCTCAATAGCTCCGACTGGGTTCCCACCCGGTCCGGGGTAGGGCGCCGGCTGTGAGCGGCAGGAGTTTTTAGTGACGTTCGACTCCCACATACCCCACCTGCCGTGCGGGTGGGGATCCGGCGATGTTCTCCAGTGGAAAAAAAAAAAAAAGATATAGAGGAAATCTTTCTTGACCTATGCAAGTGTAGTTTTTTTTTTTTATGATTGAAGGATTACTGGTGGCCCGGAGGCCTTTCCAGTTTCACCAGGACAGGTGGGCGAGCAAAGGCTTAGCCAGGAGGGGTGGGATTTGCTAAGAGATTCCCGAGCGCCTCCGAAGGAGACCTAACAGCTCAAGAGTAGCTGCTTCGCGAATGAATCTACTACCGGATCGGAATCGCGACTCGCTGAGAAGATCCGGCGAGAAACTCAGCGAGCTGATTCATGGGTTAGGTTGCACGGCGAACTCTTTGTCGAGTTCGACGAGTACGGTTACCGGGGTCCCTAAGCCTGCTCCTAGTGTTTTTTTTTTCTCTTTTTATTAATGCATAAAACAAATTACAACCAAAGAAATTATAAGTTTAAATGTTTAACATAACAATCTGGATTGCAATTCAAATCAGGTGCATACAGAAAAAAAATTACAAAATTTTGTTAGAGCTGAAGGCGTCTAATGCAAAGGTTATTGGATCTGATGGATCCGTAAGGACGTGTCTAGGGCGTCGACGGTGATTGGCTTCTGCGTGATCAGGATTCGGGGAGTAGTCAGCGGCGGCAACGATAAGGCGATTATCATGACGCATAGCCTTATCGAAGTACCGTTCCGACGCTGACTTCATGTATTTCTGGATAGATTCGAGGCCCAGGTCGTCGTGTAGGTCAACATTCCTCACGAACCACGGAGCTCCGACAGCTAACCTGCAAAAGCGGGATTGTAGAGATTGGAGGGTGTCTATGTGTGTGCGGGCCGCGTGAGCAAACACCACACTCGCGTAAGTTATGACGGGCCTTATGCAAGTTTTGTAAAGTGTCACCTTGTTCCGAAGTAAAATGTCCCATTTTACTCCGCTTACAGATCATGGGTTAGAGTCTACCGAGAATAAACGCGGCACGGTCACGGACTGATTTTATATGCGGGCGGAATGTCATCGATGCATCCAGGGTAACGCCCAGGTACTTGACCTTCCTGGCCCAGGGTATGGGTTGTCTAAAGAGAGTAATCGGGGGTGTGCAAGTGTAGTGTTGGCTCACGCTGCCCGCACTAACTTGAAACCCCTTCAAACTATTCAATCCCGTTTTTGCAGGATAGCCGTCGGAGCCGTGGTTCGTGAGGAACATCGACCAGTATAACGACCTGGACCTAGAGTCTATCAGTAAGTATCTACAGTCGGCATCAATGCGCGCCACTTCGATAAAGCGGCACGACATGAGAATCCTTTCATCGTGGCCGCCGGAAACTACATAGCCGATCCTGCAGACCAAATGGTAAACAGTCAACGTCGCCCAAAACACGTCATTTCGGATCCTCCTGATCCACTAACGGTGCTTTTAGGTACCCCAAGCACCGGTCATTGTTTTCGTCGAACCCGTCGCTTGCGACGAAGGGCTCGGCGAGTAAATTAACCCACAGACACAGGGCACTGAGTTTCTCGCCGGATCTTCTCAGTGGGTCGCGTTTTCGATCTGGTGGTAGATTCTGCGAAGCACGGCTCCTGCTAGGGTTCGTGTTAGCAACATCGTCAGGTTTGAGCCTCGTGAGCTCAACTATTAGCCCGGCGACGCTGACATGGTCTCTCTAGACCATCAGCTTATGCAGGAAAAAAAAAAGGAAATCATTATATTAATATTATACATAATATTATACACGCGACATTCCAAATTCGTCTAATAACAATGAATATAAAAGTGATAACTATTAACATAGGCTTTTTAGGTTAAGCAACTTCATTTAGTAAAAGAAACCTTGAAACAAACATTCTGATATTGATAGAGTTTCATACGCCTATTCTATCAAGTGAATCGAGTACTACCAATATTTCTATTGCTGTATGTATTATTAGCACACTTCAACCTTTACGGAATTCCTGGTATACCGTATGCACCAACTAGTAAATATTTTACCAGACTAAATGCTTTTAATTCGGTTTTATTTGGTTCACATCGAAACCACGTTGTCCTATAGCGTGAAAACATGAACAAAGTTCTGCGGTTTTGTAAACAATTTCAGAGCTGAGTTCATCCATACTACCATTTACACTCCGGTTTGAGCCCAATGAGCTCATCTACATGTTAGGGCGAAGCTTTAGATGAACTTCCCTCTTCGGTGTTTCCTGAGCGTTATAGCATGTCTTCGTTCAAACGAGGTTTGCGGAGATTACTTAGCGGTAGGCAGAGGCTTGGCTCTGCCCTTGGCATTATTGCTAACGTCCATGAGCGAAGGTAACCACTTACCATTAGCTGGGTCATATGCTCGTCTGCCTTTCTAAATCAAAAGAGTTTAATCATAATAACAATAATCAGTTTAATCATAGTCGCTTTTTTCATAATACGAAATTTGTCCTACAAAAAACGTATTTTCTTGTTTTAATTTTTGATGAATTTTAATGTATTAAATCAATTATTATTAGAAACGGTTTAAATATAAACTGACATTCATCTTTCGAGAGGGTACAAATAAATTATTATGGATGATTTTCAGTAGCAGTGGGGCAGAAAGTAATGGCGTCAAGCAGTCTGGCTACACCACTGTGGAGGGGTTCGTCGTGGTCGTTGATCGCACATTCGACTCAGGTACAAACACATGTGGCGTTCTAAAGCATTAACCATTATGCATTGTAAATTGCAATACATTTGATTTTAATTTGTATGTATAATTAATATATTGCGAATAAAAATTCAACGATGTAGAAATTACCTTTTTTTCTTCTTTATTAATTAGTATAATACATACAGAAATGACAATAATAATTAAGGTGTGGCAATAGACTACTGTACTAGCAAAGTAGTGGAATACTTCGTTAATTGTAGCAATGTCATTCACTAGAGTCTCAAAAATTCTTATGATGTAGCTTGTATATTTTGGTCGTCCGTGCGCGAACTGACAAACATTGACGCACGCACCTGACGTCTTCATATTATATTTTACTTACAAAATATATATAATAAACGTTTAGAAATATAAAAGCTAGCGTATCAAAAGCGTTTTATATTGCATGTTTGTTGCATTTGCAGATGGTTCAGATGTGCGAGTGTTTACGACTTTCAGCCGGACGCGAGTTTGGCCCATAAAGCAAAAATTAATGGGTTTTAACTTTACCAACCGACGAAGTCAAGGATATTTTTGGCAAACACTGTCACAGGATATTCTTGTTTTAGTCTACCGGTACCTGACTATTGTTGAAACAAGGCCAAGTATGTAGGTATGCCTTGGATTTTCCAACTTATGAAAATGGACACACAATCTCAAGTTACTGGCCGAAGTTGCCGAAAAGTTTCGAGCGAACCTTAGCTCATGGCATTAGCCCGCTGTGTTTGTCGCCGAATCTTCTCAGTGGATCGCAATTCAGATCTGATGGTAGATATACTCGGGAAGGAGCCGCCCTTGAGCTATTGTGGCTCTTCTGGAGGCGTTCGGTCAGCTATTAGCAAACTTTCCCTTCCCAACTGAGCCTTCGAATTCAGCCATTTGTCAAGGTCTCAGGGTCAAAGGCGATATTTCCATCGCAAAAAAGCCATTGTTACGGTTAATGACAATTAAATAGTAATTTCTGAGAAATCAGGCTACTTACATATAATTTCAATCATTCATACAATTTTCAAGGAACTGTTTGAGATGATTCCCTCATCTCCTTTTTGTCATCGCACCTCCCGCCATCGAAGCAGAATTCATCCATATTATCTGGAACCGCTGCGTTCATCGACAGTGCGTTTCCAGAGGTCTTTTTTTGCCACATACCTACCATCCGGTTATGGAATGAGCTCCCTTCCACGGTGTTTCCCGAGCGCTATGACATGTCCTTCTTCAAACGAGGCTTGTGGAGAGTATTAAGCGGTAGGCAGCGGCTTGGCTCTGCTCCTGGCATTGCTAAAGTCCATGGGCGACGGTAACCACTCACCATCAGGTGGGCCGTATGCTCTTTTGCCTACAAGGGCAATAAAAAATAATAATAATAATATAAATTGGTGCTAGTAAGTGGGAATATCTTTAAATTCAGGTTCCATGTAACTTGTCTGACTGGATTATTTTCATGAAATTGCAGCTTATTTTGCAAATTGGAACCGTTTTTGACGTGCTATTTTATGAAATGCGTTTTTAAGGTCTTGAATCGATTGTGGGCTTAGACCTGATTCAGCGAAGCAATGATCTTGCTAGGACCGATGTTAGCAAATCTTCTCAACAGAGCTCAGTGAGCTCGCCCTCCAACGAAGGCGAAACCAGAATAGCCCTTCGAGGCTACTAGCAGATGGGTAAAAAAAATCTAAAGGCGTTAAATCACAAGATTTGGGTGGTCAAATGTGATCGCCTCGCCAAGAAATCACACGGCCAGGAAACTTTAATTGCAAAAGTCTTTACTTCTTATTTCTTTTTGAAGTGAAACTTCTTTAAAATCGTTGTGATTTCAAACTCGATGAAACGAAATGAAACGAAACGAAAAAATAAGTGTGCCGCGATTGGCTTGCCGAAGCGGCTCCGAGCGGCGCCGACAAATGAGGAAGCGCTCCACACGGTCTCGCGTTCCCGACTGGTTCGGTGTGTTTTTGACGTCCGTGCACGCTGTCGTGGCTCTCGGGGCGTCCTGAGATACTTTTATTTCTATTTATGTTGTTATCAACAGATGTCGCTGCACGTAAATTCAACACATTCAAACGCAAATTCACATTAATATCCTATAAATCCAGTAATATAAAATCATTAATCGCAATCCATTCACCGTAATATTTGCTCCGGTCTCATTTTCGAAAAAGTAAGTTTCAATGACTCGTTCAGACCATAAAATTGCATCAAACAGTCACACGTTATGATGGAGAGATTTTCAGCAATAAATCTTGGGTTTTGTGAACACCAACTGTAGGTACAACATGGGAGTGCCGGACAGACTCATGCTCGTTATATGCGACTACTTGTCGAACCGCTCGTTTCGCTATCGAGTAGAGGGAACTCACTCTCGCCCCAGCAACTTAACGGCTGGAGTCCCGCAAGGCTCCACGCTCTTCCCGTTACTGTTCATTTGTATATCAACGATATACCCTAGTCTCCTGAGACCCATATAGCGCTCTTCGTCGATGACACGGCAATGTACTACTCATGTAGGAAGAAGTCGTTATTGCACTGGCGACTCCAGACCGCAGCAACCACCATGGGACAGTGGTTCCGGAAGTGGCGCATCGACCTCAACTCCACGAAAAACACAGCGGTGCTCTTCAAAGGGGTCGCCTTCCCAAAACCAATTCGAGCAGCGCACTCACAAATAGGCACGTTAACGCCTCCGCCATTCGCCCCATCACTCTTTTCACCCAGCCCATACCGTGGGACTCGACGGTCAAGTATCTAGGCGTCACCCTCGACAGAGGGATGACATGCCGCCCCCATGTCAAGTCGGTACGCGACCGAGCCGCGTTCATATTACGCCTCTATCCGATGATTTAAGTAAGCGAAGTAAGTTGTCCCTTCGTAATAAAGTAACACTTTACAAAACTTGCATACGCCCGGTCATGACCTAAGCTAGTGTAGTTTGCTCACGCAGCCCGTACTAATTTAAAACCTCTTCAATTCATTCAACCCCGTTTTTGCAGGATAGCCGTCGGAGCACCGTGGTACGCAAGAAACGTACCTACATCTCGACGACAACATGGACTTTACTGGTGGTAGGACCTCTTGTGAGTCCGCGCGGGTAGGTACCATCACCCTGCCTATTTCTGCCGTGAAGCAGTAATGCGTTTCGGTTTAAAGGGTGGGGCAGCCGCTGTAACTATACTGAGACCTTAGAACTTATATCTCAAGGTGGGTGGCGCATTTACGTTGTAGATGTCTATGGGCTCCAGTAACCACTTAACACCAGGTGGGCTGTGAACTCGTCCACCCATCTAAGCAAAAAAAAAAAACAAAAAAAGAACATGGACCCTGAGTCCATCAGCAAGTATTTATAGTCGGCAACAGTGCGCCATTTCGAAAAAGCGGCACGACATGAAATCCTCTAGTCGTGGCCACCGGAAACTACACACCCGTTCCTGCGGACCGAATGGTAAACAGTCGACGTCGCCCTGAACACGTCACTTCGGATCCTCCCGATCCACTAACGGTGCTTTTAAGTACCGAACCCCTTGTTCACGCTTCGCAGAATCTACCACCGGATCGGAAACGCGACCCACTGAGAAGATCCTGCGAGAAACTCAGTGCGCTGTTTCTGTGGGTTAATTTACTCGCCGAGCCCTTCGTCGCAAGCGACGGGTTCAACGACGACGGTGACCGGTGCTTGTGGTACCTAAATGCACCGTTAATGGATCGGGAGGATCCGTAATGACGTGTTTTGGGTGACGTCGACTATTTACCATACGTTCTACAGGATCGGGTATGTAGCTTCCATCGGCCACGACAAGAGAGTTCTCATGTCATGCCCAGTGTCGGATTAAGCAAGCGCGGGGCTAGCAAATTATTTCAAATAGCCCTTGATCTACTATCGGTTCTTAAGTATAAAGTGGTAAAAAAACAAATCAATAGTCTATACGTTTATTTGCCATCTATAGGTTACAATTTTGTGGGTATTTAGTAAATTACTATAGGCGCTGTTAGGCTCTGACAAGTACAAAAAGCCAGAGATGAGATTATCTAGCTATAAAATAATTTTGTTTTTGAAGACTTTTTGTAGAGCTGATTATCAGGCTGATTGAAATTCTACACGTTTATACAAACAACTTTTTCTTAATAAGTCACTGAAAAAATTAAGCTCGGGCAGAGATAAGTGGGTTTAAATATGCGGGGCCCACGTTCGCGCGGGGCCCGTAGCAATTGCTACTCTTGCTACATGGTTAATCCGGCACTGGCCATGCCGCCTTCTCAAAGTGGCGCAATGATATGTCAAGTAGTGACAGCTTGAGCCATGATACCTATTAAAATGGCGGGCAAAATAAAGTAACGTATTTTTGGAGCACCCTGTAGACTGAGGTAGGTACTAGGTTGAAGTGAGTGGACAGAATTTATCATCATCACATAATGCTATTGTGTGACAAGTACCTAAATTTTTTTAGAGATTTATCGTAAAATTATGGACGTACATGTCCGTCGTGCTATTTCGAATTTAAGTATGCGTCGCGTATATAATTAAAACGTATGTCCATAAAGCCAATAAATTTTGAATCAACATTAGCAATAGTGCAAAATTTTCGTTGTCGTCTATCATTAACCGTACCATATCTCTTCGTTTTCGAGAAACGGTTCAAACACAATATTAATTAATCCATCAATTGTTTTCGAAAAATACTAGGCAATTTTCATGATCGCCGTTGAAAGCCTCGTCTCTATCTAAAATCTAGAAACACGCATTATTAGGTTGCCAAATAAGTCAGCCGAGTGTCACGTCATTTGAAACATAAATAGTACAAGTCACAAGACAGACCGGTCGGCGGCAACGCACACAAGGGGATATGTGCTGCGATTGTGTGCGCCGAGATGGCCGCTTCGCTTGGCGCCAACGCCGCCTGCGTGTTATTTCCAACGCCATTACTCACACCGGCCTCGACTAATTATAATATTCAGCGAGCCCACATCGTTCACAGCTACGAATGTCCAGTCATATCCTGCACAATGAACTAATGTTCGGCGGCTATTTTTTAATACATGTAAAATTGACATTTTCCCGATTTTTATTCATATTGTAAAATCAGGGACAAATGAAATATGTGTTCTAGTTTAATGAATTCATGCCTGCGCTCATTTGTTAATTATTTTAATTAATATCACTTCATTTGATGTTCGGCGAGATCACAGATGCCGGCGCTGCGAAAACGGTTGTTTTCTGTAAACATGGAGTGTGTATTACTGCGCACTCAATAGCATAATCGTTCTGCCCTTTAACCTAGACGTTCGTGTTTTGTGATAATGGATCCAGCACGCACTACTTTGCAAGCGCTCTATTTGCAGTTATTGTTAAAATGAAAATCATATTTAGATGTGCAAAATGATATTATACAAACACAAGTAAATCCTAAAAAAGTAGATATTATCATATCAACATGTCTAATTAAAAATGAGTTGATTGCTTTAAAATATCAATTTACACGAAATTGGTTTAAATCAACGGAAAATATTAAACTAAATACTCACAAGAAAGAGTTTCTTGTATTTAAGGTTACATAATAAGTAGCTTAAACAGCTCTGGAACTTTCCACAGTACGATGACAACAAACTAGGCAACTTAACGGTACGTTATTAAATTCACACGTATTCTTCAATTATGTAAATTTAAGAATCAATATTTAATAACATTTTTTTTCATTTGGATTTCTGATCATTAACCTTTTTATAAATTTTCCGGATGTTTAGAAACGATAATGGCTTAATATCAAGATTTTACATATAATTCATTTCATTTTACTGCAAGAATATAATAATTGAAACAGCTAAATTTTACGCTATTACGCGAAAATGGCGATGAGTGAAAATAGATTTGAATTAATAAATAATTTTTAATACATTTTTGGTGCATAAAAAGCTCGTAAATACCAAACCACACTTTTACCTACTTAAATTAAATTGTATAATAAATAATAATTAATAAATCTTTACATTAAGTTTAATTATGAGTCAATGGACTTTTCACTGATACTTAGTAGATACTTTTAGTGTGAAACGACGGCTAGTTGTGACGCAAATTTATTCGTTGCCAAAGAAAGTGTTTCTGTAGGGTTATTGTTCACGGAGTTAATACTATCGTGCCAACAGTCAAGATAAAAATATCAGAAACTTATGATAGTACGTGCCGTACATAACGGTACATATCACTAATCGTGTGACCAGGTTTTGAAATGAGCTGCGATCATAAAAACATGCTGATATCAGTTTTCATGAGTTTTTTCTCAACGATTGGCCTCTTGGCTTCTTGATAAAAATGAGTCGATTGCACGCCTTGCCACCCGTGTTCACGGACCACCCATGTGTATCACCGAGTTCGCTTTTTTAATCTCCACAGCTCTGATATAAATATCGGTGGCGCAATAGAGATCATCCTTAATGTTGCGCTAAGCCGCGTGAATTCAGGCTGTAGCTTCAATAAAACCTGTTTAACTTGGCTAATCCCACGTCAAGATGTTTTATGATAAAAATTATGAGATTTTAATACGACCACACTAGCGAGGTAATATTTCAGTTTTTTGACAGACGAGAACACAGGGTGCGCCGAAATCTCGTGAGTCTAGCTCGTTAAGAGTAATGTCTGAGATTGATCTCGGACAAGTATCAATTATTCTTAGCACTAATTAAGTTAGGTTTCTATCGGTTAGTCTTGCAAAAACCTTTCAAGCTGAAATGGCATGGTATTAAATGTCGTGGCAATATTTACGCATATCCGAGATAACGACTATTCCAATAGGATTCAAATATTCGTGTCTGATACGTAATCCTGTTTTTGAGAGCATATTATCAGATTTTGATCTTAGATGTATAAAGCTATTAAGATTAGTAAATCGATGTTGCTTATGCAAATCAAATGATATATCTGATCCCACAAATGTTCCTAAATTTTATTATCAATACGCAAAGCCATTTAAGTGTAGATGACCCAGTTTTCGAAACAACGAATGAATCATTTCATTTTGTTGTATGTATTATCATTACATATTTACATACTGGTTTAAGGGGTGGATGGTGAAACGGATATATTATGTAAATTATGAAATCTATAGTTTAAAAACTAAAAGAAAAATTCAAAAATTAAATGGCCACAGCCAAAGCCAAAAAAAAATTTAATGTTTTTTTTTCTTAATGAACCTCTTTAGTATATTGTGCCAAAGTAACTAGGTACAACATTCCACGTATTATTTATCAGGAAAAAAAGTAGAAGGAAGCAAAATTTATATCGATATTATCTGTGAGGATTTAATCTCCAAATAAGTTATTACGAAACTACGTTTAACGCTAGATGGAAAACTAACTTGTGTTGTGCGTCGAGTAATTTAGTAGTCACGCGGGGCGGGGTAGCTCAACTAGCTATGGAATCGTGATTCTGCGTCGAGTTATTTCCATAACAAAAGTAACAATGTTATATTTTCACTCATGTTGACCCCACTACATTATTAAAGACTTGACTCGCAGCATAGGTAACTATTATCACTATAATATTACACATATTGGACAACTCTTGCGTATGTATGCCTACACTGTTGGGCATTAGCCCCGTCCCGCGTCCCGCCGTCACAAGCCGCTCGACGCGCCGTTGCGCTCGCGCCATCGTTTCTCGGAAAACGATAGCTCGATATTATTATGTAGGTACCACACAGCAACACAGTATTATTATAAAGATTTTTATACAGCAATACATAATGTATAAAGTATTTTTATTTATTTATAATACATTGAATACATATAGGCAATATGCGTGTGAAGTTTGTCACACACAAAAATTACAATTAGTTCATCCCAAAATTACACAATGTAATTTTATAAATCTCTTTTTTTATTTTTATTCTTTAAACTATAAAGCAATTTATAATTATTAAAATTTAACTTGCAGTTGGACAAAGGTACATTAGATGAATGAACTATTTTCTGTTTTCAACTGAATAATTTCATTGCAACATATTCAAGCTTCATAGTGCCATCATACAAATATTCATAGACTTACAAAAAAGAAAACAGTTGAGAAATTATAACAATACATTTTCTTATAGGTATTTATTTCATTTATAAACCTTGTATCTATAAATACCACTAACGTAATTCATTTTTTGCCACAAATAAGTCATGCGTCTGAAATAATTAGTTTCAAGGGTCAGTACGTTACAATTGAGACTGACGTCATGTCTCACGATGGGCGTCAGCAGTCACGTTGCGGGGAATATTGGAGTCGGGTTTGAGCCCCGCGAGTTCTAATAAGAAAAAAATTATTTTATAAAACATTTACTATGAAATTTTCATAATATGTAGGAAATTTATATCTAAACGATTAATTATTATTATTATACTGGTTTGAGTTAGAACAATATCCAAATGTGGAACTAATACCTAACACGTCAGTCGTCCGTGACCACGAAAACTTTTTTTTATGATTGAAATATTACTGTTGGCCCGGAGGCCTTTCCAGTTTCACCAGGACAGGTGGGCGAACACAGGCTCAGCCAGTAAGGGTGGGATTTGCTAACAACTGCCCGAGCGCTTCCGAAGGAAACCTAACAAATCAAGAGCAATTGCTTCGCGAATGAATACCACGAAAACTGTAAAGCAATCGAAACATCGGAAATAATGTAAAGATATTAAATATATTATTAATAAATATATATTATATCTATATATATATATATAAATGAATTGCTTTTCGTTAGTCTCGCTAAAACTCGAGAACGGCTTGACCGATTTGGCTAATTTTGGTCTTGAATTATTTGTGGAAGTCCAGAGAAGGTTTAAAAGGTAGATAAATATGAAAATGCTCGGAATTAAAAAATAATAACAATTTTGTTTTTCCTTTGATGTGTCTTCCGTCCGACGGATTCCTTTTGTTTGTTTTAAGTTTATTTTATACATAATTTTAGGTCTTTTATTTATTGATTGAGGCACTACAAAGTCTGCCAGGACAGCTAGTTATATATAAATATATTATTTCCGACATTTCAAAGACACAAAAAAAAATTTAAAATACTTTTAATTGTGGCTACGAGTTGCGAAAACCGGACAAAATAGTAATCATATTAGATTATGATTATATTTGTAACAACAAACGCTTACTTTGCGCATAAAGTAATGCACAGAAACAATGAACTCGATTACTATGCGTTCCTATAACTTATTTAGTATAAGTGCATGTTTGTAGAGCCGCAGCTGACATCCTGGAATGGAGAACTAAGATCGAATCGTAAATACTTACGTACAAAGCGGAATCGTCGACAGGTATGCGTCATGACTGCCACAAATACAAAGGAAATTACTTTACTATTGTCACTTGTCGTAATACATTAGATAAACTACATAATTATATGAGAATGCATTTATTAGGTAAGACTATACTTTTTATGTACTTCTCACGGTCCACCCCCGATTAGCCCATAGACATCACCACATGAATCCCATCATTCACCTTGATATATGAAGTCTGATTCACAATTATAATACTTCCCAAAAATATTAGATAAAAAGCTTTTTTTTTAAATCGTATTTAAATCGTAATCGACATTGTTCGTACTTGTGATGTGATGAAACTACTTTTTATGAAATTCTAATCGGATCAGCAATAAATATAAAAGTGGTCGTACACAGCATTCGGTTCTTAGCTGCACGTAGAGCTTTCATTGTAACAGATTAGTTCGTGTTATGGTGTAAAAATAAATTATTGTAAACTTCTTATCCAATTATTTCTACAAAATAGTAGGGCGGTGAATGTATAGGTAATTTATTAGATAGCAAGTCCAGCAAGACAACGCAACTGGTAAGGCAAGGTAGGTCGCACTTTATATGGAGAGTCGTTTAATCCACTGAATAAATTACCTATGTGCCTAGGTTTCTCCTGAATGACTAATGAACATTTAAAGAATTAGCACAATGCGCATGCAGTACACTTTCCAATTGCTTTCGTTAATACGCAGTCGGATCCGGTAAATATACTATAGAAATAAACATGTGCGCTATGCCGTCACCACAGGTGTACTACAATTTATTATGCATGAGCTCTTCTTACTTTTGTATGGGATTTGATCTTGAGTACATTTTCTACGAATCATATAAGATATAATCACCAGAATTTATATTTTAATACTTTAAATTTATATAGGTACTAAATTCAAACAAGTTGGATTAGATGTTATGAGCTAGTAGTAGATTCATCGTATAAGACCTACACTTACTTGAATGGATGTAACGAAAATCAGTTGCTTATTCAAATTATTAGCAGCCGGGAGTTTTATTATGAACAAACACGTCCCGCTTATTGGTAGTAAACGTGGCGCCTGAGGTCATTTTGTCACGTCACCACTTCGCAAAACGGTACGTAGTATCGAAGCAAGTAGAGAATATTGATTTGTAAATGAACCACCTTAACATTTATGTGCAGTATCGTCTCTGTCGATCAGAGTTCAAGTAGTTATTGAATTACTGAAAGAAAATTATTATTGCTTAGTACACTTTTTTAAAACGGGAATAAAAAGAAATTATGTAATTAGATCACTACACAAACACGTGAGTTAACGTTAAACTTCAACTTATAAAATAGGTATCTATCAATATTTATTAAGTATTGTTTTTTATGTTATTAGATTTTGATCATCCTGAAATCTAAATAAATTCACTAATATCTAAATACATATTATATTCTCTTCCGAAATAAAAAGCAAAACTTTTTTTAGACAAATCAAGAGGCCGGCTAAATAAGAACACCAATACCTAAGTGTCATCGTTGTGTTGAAAATTCCTTTGTGGGTATTATTCATATTGTTTCAACGTCATGTATTTCCGCAGCACTGCCATTGACGAAGGGACTAAACCACAAGGTGGCACATACATGTATGCCACGGACAACCACGGCTCATATTGTCAACGAACGCACGATATTATCAAGGTTTCGTATTGCAACCTTTCAATATATATTTTTTTATTTCAATATTTTTTGTATGCCGGAGCTAGTAGCGAACGCGTTAAGTTTGTTAATAATAGTTACATAAATATTAACTTAATTCAGAAAGATTGGCAACAGCGTAACTGTCAACTTTGGGTCCACGAGCTTCGGCTAGCTTAGTCAAGTATACCATATGATCTGGTATGGTTGGTTCTGGATCGATGGCAATGAAAAAGTATGCACTGTACGTTCATTTAGTAGGTGCAAGATCGATATGAAGAATTTGTTTGAACGTCAACGACGTAGGTGTTTGGTGCCACATCATATAATTTACTCAAATATTTAGAACCGTTAAACCATTAAAGATAGTCGTGTGATTTGAGGCACTAATGACCTAGGAACACCTATGAAGTTCTGACGCGCCTGATTGAGAGTCAGGCAATGAAGGTCGCGTTTGCTCAGTACTCATTTGGTACTCTTTATCAGACAAAATCCTATTTCCTAGAGCTTAAGACCTTATCATAGTTTTCCAGTAAATCTTTTTAGTGTTAAACAACATTCTGTTCTAAGGATTAATTTCGGCTATTGACTAAAATTCGGCATTGACTAAGATGTGGCATGTGAAGTTGTATTGATTTTTAATTAATATTTAATAGATATTAATGCTTTAGATAGTTCTTAAATAAAACAATATTAATAATATTAATGGTTATTCGCAAATCGATGACATTAGCTCATCCCTCTCAATCAGGTTAGGAAGTAAATCAATGACTTTAAACACATTTTTCCCTTACTGAAGATAGACAAAGAGAGAGTTAGAGGGTATAAAGAAATTAATTATGTCATTTCCTTATTTATCGAAAATATTTTTTTAGTAAAGCGTGAAAGGCCCTCTGGGTGTTGGGTGAACGTCAAGGCAAACCAGCATGGCTGCGCAGCGCCATCGAGTCTAGTGCGGCCAGCGCCTTGCGCGCCCACCTGACGCGCAACCCACACACCCAATCAACCTACACAGTACACGCCTTTGCCACGCTCATAAACTGTCTACGCATGACGAATAATAATAATAATTAAGCGTGATGCGTGCGTTATGAACAAATTTAGTGTTAAAGATTTATGGAAGACGCCATTTTATATTAAAATCAAACCTAATTTAATCTTTTCGTTATTTTTGTGTCAGCGAAAGAACAGGTTTTTATCTTTATATGCATATTACGTTAACTAATGTGAGTTGAATAACTTAAGAGCATCCGGCTACTTATTAGGCCACACCTTTAAAAGTTCGATTAGTTCTTATTGATGTTAGCACATTCTTATCTTTAGGACGTAATATTTTACTAATTCAACGGGCTTCAAACTTTTAATGGACTTATGAATAAACAAATCGAATAAATAACTACATAGTTGAAAGGACTTCGCACATCGTATCACGTTATCAATACAGCAGGGGTCAGGGATAGGTACTTACGCGGTTACGATATGATAATAATGTATGAAGCATTGAACAACAAATCTGCACGTTTGCGTTCGAACTGGCGCAGCGTAACTTGACGTGACTCATCGCGGAGTGATCGTGATACTACTCACGTCGCCGTAACTTGCCACGACACATTAACTAACGCGTCTCTTTTCGAGACGTAATAGTTTTCTTTACAAAATTTCTTTGCAACAAGCAGAATTTGAATTACATGCGAATTATATAAAAGCTACTAACGTTTTGTGCTTCAACGTCGTGTACAGAATTGTTATGAGTTTATATTGAAAATCATTTGGCTGAAAATAATTAAATATGTATAGGATTAATTTCAATTCAGAAAACGAACGCGCATGATTTCCTATTTTATAGAAATTTTAATTGGTATACCTGATAAGAAAGTTAGTGAAATTTTATTTGAATTTAATTTAATTGAAATTTTAATTTCAAGGAAAACCATGTACCGATATTCGAATATATTAATCATTATTTGCGTAATATTTAACATGAGTAAGATGTCCAATTTATTTGTTCTGTAACAGAAACTAGATTTGGAATTGAAACTTAATTATGCGCAATAACTTACAGTTTCCCGTGAAGGAGTTACTTGTGATGGAAATCTTGAGTACAAGAAAGATCCAGCACCTGATGGGCACAGGTACGTTTTAAAAAGCCTCTATTAAATAATTCTGAATACCTTCCTAGTTCCTAACTCAGGTATTTTTTATTGTAAGGAACCGAAATGGTTTTGTACCAACAAATTAGGTATATGTATTAAAATCTTTCTATGTACTTTTGAATAGAATTTTTTTTTCAAGAGACTCGTTGTAGACATATTTATATACCTTAGACTACTATCTACTACTATAACATGATTTGTAAACAACAACCTAAATTTGATTCTTATTATGAATAGTTGATACTGTTAGTTTTCCAAATAGACTACGAAGTAACGAAACAACAACGAAGGCATAGTATAAATTGACGAGCTAATATTTAAATAGCACTTTGCATCCAAAATTTCAAAATAATAACAAGATTAACAATTTAAACAAGTACATACATAGATACGTAAGAGAATAAGTTAATGAATCATTTAGATACTCCCTGAGTACAGACGAACAGTTACGAATACGAGTATGAAAACTATTTGGGATATTTTGTATTCGTCACGCAAGCACATATTTATTTACTTTTTTCGTTTTTTATTATTATTTTATGATTGATTGGATACCGGAGGCTTTACCAGTTTCACCAGAACAGGTGGGTGAGCACGGGCTCAGTCAGGAGGCGTGGAATTTGCTAACAGTTCAACCGAGCGCCTCCAAAGGAGACTTAACAATTCAAGATCAGCTGCTTCGCGAATTAATCTACTACCGGATCAGAATCGTGATCCGCTGAGAAGATCTAGCGAGAAACTCAGCGGGCTGATGTTTAGGTTAGATTACACTTCGAACTCTGCCAAGTTCGAGGGGTACGGTTACCGAGGTCCCTACGCTTGCTCCTAGTATTAGAGCCGAAGGCGTCTAATGCAAGAGTTATTGGATCTAATGGATTCGTAAGGACGTGTCTAGGGCACTTTTTTCGTGTGTGATTGAAGGGTTTTATTCACGACTTTGATTTGTATAATTTCCTTTCTTTTGTGAATCTATACACTGTTGGGACTTCCTTTTCCTTATTCCTTACTCAATCCCCTATCCACGCCATCTGTTGACACTATAATAAAAACTACGCGTGTAAAAATGGCGCGAAGAGAGTGTGTAAAAAACGAAAACACGGTACCGGTGCAACAACGATAAAATTGTGATTTGTTCAGCACATACAACTCTCGCCAGTGAGAAAATATAATAGTGCATCAACGAACTACGGAGTGAGTCCTAAAACTTATCCTTTTCTCAGTCCCAAACATATCTAAATTCAAAACATACACAAACTACCGAAATCAATAAATAGATAAGGATAAAACGGCTATGTACAATTTTCACCTCTTTTTGTGAACGGCCTGTTTTAAAGTTAATAGCTATTAACGATCTCTAGTTACTTTTAAAAATATTTGAAAGGAATGTTTTCGTTTTCATAAAATAAAATGTGAAATATATGAGGCAAATCAGAATGCAGGTCATCCATGCTTAAAATGCCATAGAAATTATTAAAATTCACAACAATAATATGGCTCGCTCGCTACTGCTCCGTCGGGTACACACACACACACTAACGAAAATGTGTATTTACGATTAGAACTACAAATAAAGGCCACGCGTGCTCGTACTTTGCAACAACTAGGTATATCTTGTGGATCGCCAGCTGATCAGTTGCCGGCAGTACGGTTTCCGTCATGGTCCTTCTGCTAGTGATCTTCTTGTATACCTACATACATAGAAGGGCTGTAGGCTTGGAAAGCAAGGGCGAGGCCTTCGACAGGGTCTGGCATTGGGCACTCCGGACTTCTATAGAAGCTTCCAGCTTAGAGAATCCCCGAGCGACTCTGCAAGTGAATGGCTAGCTTTTTGGATGGATGGAGCATCACAGTTGTCGTCGACGGCTGCTGATACCATGACACTGGCGTTCCACAAGGTTCGGTGCTCTCCCCCACGCTTTTCATACTGCATATCAATGACATGCTATCTGTTGAGGACACGGGGTTACATTTGTTCAGGGTTACATTGCTATGCGGATGATAGCAGGGGGATGCGCGATATCTCGATCATCAGTCTCTTTCGAAGCGTAAGCTACAAGAGAGGCGATCAAAAGTTGTGTCTGAATTGGAGAACTAACTCTCTGGGACAGGTCTCCAAGTGAGGTGAACTGAATTCTGTTCAGTTCAACCCTTTGAAGACACTGGCTTGCGCGTTCATTGCGAAGATGAAACCTTTTGTCATAGCGCCGCAATTTCAAAGAGTATCACTGCAGCTTTCCGCGAGTATAGGGATTCTGGGGGTCGATATTTCGAGTCGTGTTCAGTATCGGTGTTTTGTACCGTATGTTCCATGGGGAATGCTCTGATCCTCTCATCGCCTTTTTATCACCACACCTCCCGCCACCGCTGCAGAGCTCATCCATATTATCTGTAGCCGCTACGTTCATCGACAGTGCGTTTCCTAATATATTTTTTGTCACGTACCATCCGGCTTTGTAATAAACTCCACTCCACGGTGTTTCCCGAGCGCTATGACATGTTCTTCTTTAAACGAGGCTTGCGGAGAGTACTTAATGGTAGATAGCGGCTTGGCTCTGCCCCTAGCATTGCTGACGTACATGAGCAACGATAACCACTTACCATCAGGTAGGCCGTATGCTAGTCTACCTACAAAGGTAATAAAAAAAATGATTTATGTACATGTTACTCCTTTCAGTCTTACACCAATGTCACCCGTTCCTTAAATAAATAATTTCTATTATTTCTACGAACTAAATACAAAAAACACGTAAAAACATTATACCATTGAGCATTGAGAAACCAAACTATAAGTCTCAAGTGTTTGAGTCATGACTACCTTCATGCTTTGAGCTGAAATTAGAAAATTGTTTCCAGTACATAGTATGGGTTTGAGTTATCAATGAATTCGTAACAAGAATGTATGAAGGGTAGAAGTAAGGAGAACCGTCTCTGTGTGTAAAAAGTTTCCGTTAAAATCTGCTAAATAAGGGTGGCGCTACAGTAGCAACCGGGTAAATTTAAAAAAAATGTGCTGAGAGTTATTAGAATAAGATAGAGAAATAAAAAGGACGAAAGCAATGTAAGCACTACAAAATAACAAAAAGTATTTTATTTAAAGCTGATAAGAAAATGCAAACGATGTCTCCACGTTTTACCACAGCAATAATTTTAGGTTATACTGACGAAATTAGTTTGGACTACGTAGACATGTGAGGTCTTGTATATTAGTGTCACTAACTACTCTAGTCATTAAATATATTAAATTTCCTAACTCAACATAGTTCAATCAGTTAACAACTGCTCAGTTCATATCATACCCTGTGCCTATGCTAGCGCCATTCTGGAGGATATTTGAACTGTTATTGAGTGCTGAAAGTGGGACACTTTTGCAAGCTTCTCCCATATGAGACGGTTCTCCTTACCTCTACTCTCCATAAAAAATGACATTGGACTCCTACATAGAGTAAATAAAAATATAGAATAAAGTATTTGATTCAATAAGGCCATTCATTAAGACATTTGAGGACAAACAAAGGTTACAGACATATTTGATTAAAATAGGAACTTAAATATTATTTTTTAAGTTTTAAACTTGATTTTCTGTCATCAGCTAGCCTATTCTTGTATATATATTTTTTAATTAAAGAGAAAAAAGGTCAACGACCATTGCATGTCTCATGTCTTCCTATTAAGTGATCATAACAAAGGAAAACTGTTTGAATTATCGATAAACTTTACACTTAAATCGCTTTCGTTGTGTCCTTGTTTCAGATGTGGTATTTGCCCTACGTACTTCCAAAAAATATGTGCATTTGACGCAAGCACCAATAATACATTTATATTCGACAATCACTGCGTTATGGATTTGTACAATTGTTTACAAGGAACAGGTATAGAAACACTTGAACATATTTTGCTCCTTGAAAATTTTTCCCTGTAAAATTTTACGAATATTCAAATTTTACTGCAGAAACATAACTGTCAAGTATACTGCACTGTGGAAATGTTTTTTCTAGCATCAGGCATAGTTTCGAAATTATTGAGATCGATTAATGTTCTATAGTTATGTTGTAGATCGCCTGTAGGTTCAAGTTACCCAACTGTCTACGATACTAAGCTTTGGTACCTAATTTATTATTTACTTACTGGTAAATTAACTTGTGAATACGGTATACAGGAAACATTGGTTGAAAAGGTTGACGTTACGTATAGCAGTGAAATGGCCTTATGCAATTACTTTTTTTTGCTTTCCAGAATTTGTTACTTTACATTATGATAAATGTCTTTATTTCGGCAACTTTGCGTACGTTCACGGCTACAAATATGAAGATTTAGACTACGGCGAAGACCATATCATTGTGAAAGACACGGTCAAGAATCCCGATTTCGTTTAATAATTAAACAAGAATTATCCTGTTTTGATCATGTTTTAATTCATTCTTGCATGTTGACCTATTAGTATTTATTGACAGATATAAAAATAGAAATTAAACATTTTAGACTATTGAGGAGTAAATGCTATTCTTAGAAATAGAAATTGAAAGTAATCGGTGCATATTATATTTTAGTTACGAGATTACGAATACAAAGTTTTGTAAAATGTAGCGTATATTAATTGAAAATGGATGCCGTAGTTTTCTCTTGGAATAATCTTAAATTTGTTTGAAATGAGTATTGTATTTATATACATTTATCAATCGAATATTGTCGTAGAAAATTTGTCTATTTTTCTTCATTTCACCAGACTGTTGCTCAAATTGTTAAAGTAAGTTCTGAGTTAGGAACATGGGCTATGAAACCGACATGTGCCCGAGTCTCTTGTAGTCGATTTTGTCGAGCTGCACTAGAGGCCTGAGTTGGTCGGCGAAGGCTCGCATATCCTCGCCGATAGCGTCCTGGCCTTGTGGTGCAAGAACCTGAATAAGAAAATGAAACTATCAGCAGTTCACTACACCCTTTTCCTTTATACTACTAAATAGGCTCAGCACAGTAAAACATTATATGTCAACTGTCTTTGGGAATAATAGTAGGTGTAATGTAATTCGTGATTGTGTGGCGGGTCATACAACGCAAGATAATTGACAGATGCCTGAATCTCGCTTACGACATTTTCAAGATAAAGCGCATATGTACAAGTTCCGAATAACAACATTCGGACCGTCGGTCTACCGAGCAAATATCACCCGCTCGGTGGAAGATCTTCCCTCCGTCGTTATAAGCTTCCCAAACTGGTGACCTCCGACGTGATGTGAACACGCAACCTTCTGATTCATCATCGGCGCATCAAGAACTTCGGCTACCACAATCCCCGCATTCTCGCAGATAAAAGCAAGTCATCGACAGTCGTCCCACAGCAAGCCAGCATCGCAGCCTCAACAGGACCATCGCAGCCGACTAACCGCGCTTCTTGGCCCTACGGCACGCACCTACACTGCCTCATCGCGCAGCATTCAAGCTCAGTCTCGACTCACCGCAGACTTCGAGCAGCACTGGCGACAATCACGCAGCATTCAAGCTCAGTTTCGACTCACCGCAAACTTCGAGCAGCACTGGCACTTGCAAGCTAATCTCAGCACGGACAACGATATCTAAAAATGACACGACCTCCAGTCTCGGAGGGGAGTGATGTGGCGGGTAGCCATCATACAACGCAAGATAATTGACAGATGCCTGAATCTCGCTTACGACATTTTCAAGATAAAGCGCATATGTACAAGTTCCGAATAACAACATTCGGACCGTCGGTCTACCGAGCAATATCATCCGCTCGGTGGAAGATCTTCCCTTTGTCGTTTAAGCATCCCCAAAATTGTTTAAGTAGCAGAGTTTATATAACATTTTGGGCGCACAATCCTTATAGGACTCAGGACTCACTATCAGCAAATAAAAGTTAGTCTATCATCTTATTCTTATATATTATAGGTACACAGAAAATGATACTAAAATAAGACTTGTAAAAGAATGTCCAATGGTGAGTTTAATGTATTAATTAGTCTTTTGTTCTAACAAACCTAAGGGAACCAAAGATATTAAAGAAGGGTAAAAGTCTTCAACAACTGAAATACACTACACATCACATAACATACATGAAATAAAATAAATCCACATTGCTCTACAAACATCAACTACATACATTAATTATATAAAATCTACTTAATACGTACAAATAAGAAGAAAAAAAAACAATTGAAGCTTATTATTGAGCCTTACTTATTCATGGAAACCTGTAGGTTAGGTTACTTATGTTTTTATAGCTTGAAAAAACCAAGCTGTTTACATCAAAACCAAGCCAGCAAATTAAAAATCTCTTCCTTATTTTTAGTTTATTTACAGTAGATTGGGGAGAATAGAGACTAGAGTTAGAATAGGGACAAATCTGGGATGTCACAATACTCTTGTTGGGTTGTTAGATATAACTTTGTTGCACTGAAGATGACTATTATTTAGTGTTTAAGAATATTATATAGTTTAATTCAGATATCAAAACTTTGTATCTCATTAAAGATATAAAAAATTAATTACCTAAAGTTAGGTACCTACCTAAGAACTAAATAGTGCCAGCCTTATCGAAAAACTCTGTTGTCCCCATACATAGCGTATTTTTTTTATTGCCCTTGTAGGCAGACGAGCATACGGCCCACCTGATGCTGAGTGGTTATCGTCGCCCATGGACTTCAGCAATGCCAGGGGCAGAGCCAAGCCGCTGCCTACCGTTGTATACTCTCCACAAGCCTCGTTTGAAGAAGGACAAGTCAATGAGAGAAATAGCCTCATTCAAAGAGAATCGGGTCAAGCAAGTTTTTTAAGGTTTTGTGTATATTTTGTGACTATATGAACTATATAAAATAATGAATCGTATTTAAAAATTTAAACCTTCGGAGCCATTTTAATCTCAATTTTATTGGTATTACCCTAAGAATAAAAGCATTGAAAATTTGTTTTGGAATTGGAAAGGGTCCCCATTTTCCCCAATCTACGGTACTTAAAGATCATATATAATCATCATACTCAAGCAAAACCAGAAAGCGGTATTGTTTGGGAAATTTGACAAATTATTTAATTGGGTGTCAAAAACTTACAGAAAGCTCCACAAGATAGCTCTGTGAGATAGGTTCAGGTGGCATTGAATTTTGAGAAATCTTAAACACTTTTGCTACAGTAATTTTCATACGACCTTTTCTAAACATGTAACCTGAAATTTAGAATTAGAAAAAGCTTAATGTTTTTTATAAAATTACCGTAATTGATTGATTTTAAATGAACCACTGAAAATTATATGCAATTTAATTAAATCCCAAATCTAGGTAATACTTTAAATTGAATTAGTATTTTTGACTATTGGTCTTCTTTGATTCGTCATTATTAACAATAGTGGTATAGTAATAGTGATGATTTAGAATATACTATCAAATACATGTACAATCATATTACTCATAATTGTCATTATAATAAATATTATTACCTTTTACACTGTATTCAAATTCAATTCGGCATCCTAGCTCATTTAAAAATTCAATGAGCATTCCACTGCAGGCTATATCAAGACTGGAACGGACAACTGTTGGCCTATTTTTGTCCCCCAAATCAGGCTGCCCAATGTATCGTAACTGAAATGGCATGTCTCGAGCATCTAATGCTTTACGAACACGCAACATGAGAGGGGGAGCCTGAAATTTAAATTTATTAAAGATGAACTATTAGAACATGAAAGAAAAATATATAGATTCAGGCATGTCTTTATGCTCACGAATTGTACAGTATTAATAGTGATTACCAAATCATTAGCACTTTTCTTGACCAAACAGGTGACAGCCCAGGCAAAATTTAATCAATTTATAATTTAATACAAGTTTTATTGTATTATAATTTTATAACCATTTTATATTCTAGTGTCCTAAAATAATAATAACATTAACAGAAATATTTTAAAAAGTTCTAAGTATTATTATTACCTGATAATGATTAGGATCCCGTAGACTGAAACACACTTCCTGGTCATCAAATGTTTCTGGCCCAGCATCAACATTGTCACAAAGACCACGTAATCGGTGAAGTAAAACTTCTACTGCCGAGTCCAACACTGAGCCCTTAATCAAATTTTAGTGGAATCAAAAATTAAATGTATAATATTCAACAATTAACAAACTTGACTGAATCTTGAGAAAAGTTGCTGCCTGTTGCCTAATTATCATAATTTCCAGCTATGAAATACTGTAAAATTGAAAATCATTAAATGAATTATTTTTATTTATTAAGAACAGCATTGTAGGCATTGTAACTAAGACCTTATCTCATGTTTTTTTGGGCTGCTATTATATGTAAGCTATGTATGTATGGGTTCTGATAATATTTTGAATGTAGTATGTAAACAGATCAAATGGGTCAAAAGAATTGGATACAATAGCTGCAACTATGGTAATTAGTTCTGTTAAGTATGCAATTTATGGAAACTGTAGAAGAATGTAGACTATATTGTAATTATTCTGAAATTTAAAATAGCTGAGCCACTTCAACATCCTGTAGTACCTGAAGTAAGTATTCCTGATTTGGTATAATGTTCGCTTTTAAAGCTTGCGATAAGCTATCTGTAGCTGTTATAGGTGCAGCGTTTGCCGACATTTTATGGAGCTGAAAATCTGAAAACCTACTTCAATAGCAGCTATTTAAAGATTTAAGTTTTGAAGAACTATGTGTGAGCCAAGAAATCATTACACTTATAAACGACTTTTCTGTCTCATAGAGGTGCATTCAGTCTAAATAGTCCATATAACCGAAACTATAAATATTGCGTAAAATAAAAAACTAGGCAATTTTAAAGGAGAAAATAAATTCTAATTTCTAATTAACATAATCTAAATACTCATATTGGAATTTAACAAGGTAGAGATATGTTTGCAATCGCTGTTAGCTTGACAGTTACTAACAATGTTGACATTTAGCCTCATTTAGGTGACATTTTGTAATTTCCTTTTTCAAATACAGGAGAGAGAGGCAATGGTATCGCATCATATTATCATATTGGTACGGCCGTATTTGTTTTTAAACATTTTTTGTCACCAATGATTCTACATGCGAGGAGTGAAATTGTGTGATTTGTTTTATTTTGTCTATTTAGTGTGTCTTCAGGTTTAAACCTGTAATAACGGTTGTTTATTAACTGTTCAATATCTATGAAAGTGCACAAATGTGGGAAAATGAAACCAAGCCGCTGGACGTAACTTCTCGGGATCGTCCAAAAAGGCCAAAATCTCAGTAAATAACCGTCATTTTAGTGAGATTGTATTTCATCCCTTATCATCTGTTCAGTTCTCGTTCAATCACATGAATGAACAATGAGTGTGAAGAGTTAATCATTAATTTCAAACTATAAAAGAATATTATTTATATTTTACAATAAAATTGTATTAAAGTGCTCCAATATATGTTACTAGTAGTATGTAACTACAATTACTTTTTTTTATTTTCATTACATACCTATAATTGTTATATTTTATACATCTATAATTTCAACTATATGATGTATTGGAAATAGGACAGTCTTACAAGCTTCCTCGCAATGTTTTTCTTAATGTTTAAAACACTCGGTATTCAGTGCAGGTAGATACTATAGGAACATAATATTTCGTCGAAAACTCATTGGTTGTACAAAGCACGCCTAAAATTCGAACCCCGTACCCGATATCGGCAATTCGGCACACTAACTATTCACTAGACAATCGAGGCAATTTCATTAATTCAGGAGTTTTTTCAATCGTTCACTTTGTCACAACACTATTTTTATTTCATCAAAACCTGACAACACAGTAAACGTCAGTTGACTTCGTCTAATAAAAAATCCGACTATAGGTCTATGAGTTCGTTGTACACAATTCACAATTAGCAAAGAGGGAGCTTAAAAAAACATTAGAAATGGTCAGTCATGTATCTATAAAACTCGCATCTGAAAGAGTAAATCATTCGGTTGCCTCAAATAATGACCCGCCGCGTTTTTACACTCCTGGCGAAGTCATAACTGGGATACAAGATTTTATGAGGTCGGTATTTTTTGCGAAAACAATATTGTTAAGAATTATTATTACTATAAATTTAATAATTTTGCACTTTAAGAGGCCACGGAACTTACGCAGAAGATGATTGCCTAAAAGCATCTGTTGCTGGGGTTATGCAAAAAGTAAATAAACTTATATGCATTCGCCCATTGAAGAGTCGTTACGTTGGAGAAATAGGCGATGTGGTAGTCGGAAGAGTATTGGAAGTTCAACAGAAAAGATGGAAAGTTGATACCAATTCACGACTTGATTCAATACTTCAACTTTCTTCAGTAAATCTACCTGGCGGAGAATTGGTAAATTAACGCACACTTCCATAATATAAAGCAATCTTCTTGTATCTAATGATAACTATTTATATATTTTTTTAAATCCAGAGAAGGCGTTCAGAAGAGGATGAGCAGATGATGAGAAAACATTTACAGGAAGGTGATTTGATAAGCGCTGAAGTACAGAATGTATTTTCTGATGGTTCGCTCTCATTGCATACAAGAAGTTTGAAATATGGCAAGGTAATCAGATTTTATGAAGCCAATAAAAAATGACTATTCTAAAGTTCAACAAGAATGTTATAAGGAAATTAAAAATATTCAAATATGTAGCAACATTAAATTTTGAAATCCTCCAAAGTGAAGATGATATTTATCCTTCTGAGTAGATTAAACATGCTTCATTAGCAAATTGATTACAAGTCTACACAAACACTTAAATCTGCTTTAATTCACTACCTATATGTTTAAATAAATAAAATCAAGGGGCGTAAGGCTATTTGTTTTAAGTGACACTTCGCTTACTACATGGCATCTATCTGTGTAATTAAAGGTAAATTTTATTTGGTATTAGTTTATACAATTAATTGTTTTTAATTGAACACCAATTAAGTATTCTCCATTGAAATAGCTGGAGAAGTTTTGTCATGTTTTTTTTTCAATTTTTAAATTACATGACTTTCCTCTAAACCAAATAGCCCTTCATACCTTAAAATAGAATCATTCATACAGTCCTCTAATAATAATTAATATCACAAAATGTTGAACTTTCTACTCCTTGCTAATACTAAAAAAAAATTAATTTAAGAGTTTGTTCGAAAACTTTATTTTTTGCAGCTTTCACAGGGAACTTTAATAAAAGTATTCCCGTCATTGATAAAGCGCAGAAAAAATCATTTTCACAACTTACCATGTGCAGTATCTGTCATAATAGGGAATAATGGATATATATGGATTAGTCCACACAAAAGTGATATTCTTATGGAAGGAAATAAGGATGCAATTGAAAATTATGAAATTCAGGTGGGTTAATGCTATCAGTGTGCAGTGTTCGGGAATAGGAGTTAAGAAAGATAAACGATAAACACAAGTTAAAGATTTATTATATCATTTTCACTAAACTTTGTGTTTTTCCATGTTTTAAGAAAATAGAACTCATGCATGTTCTCATGCCCTCATGAAATTGTTGCATATGCTAATATGATGCTGATATCATTTTTATTGCAGCCTGTTGGGAAATCAGAAAGAGAAACGATGGCGCGAGTGAAAAATTGTATTTTGGCACTTGTGGCATCTAAGATGATGTTAGATGATACTAGCATAATGTTTGCATTCGAAGAAAGTCTCAAATACGACAATGTAAAGGAACTCTTGGATCCTGAAGCTATGCTTGACGTAGCATTTTTAACTCAGCATAGAATAAATATTATTGCAGAAGAGTGACTTTATTGTGTTTTAATTATAGCTAGAAAATATTAATAATAAAGGAAATACAGCTTTTTCAATACCACAAAGTTTTCTGTAAATTGCAATTCACTATGGATAGGGCGAACTGATCGTTCTATGTAAATCTGTGTACAATTGCGCTTACGTTTTGTATGGATGGTTGAGTTTCGAAATCGTCGTGGCCTAAAGGATAAGACGTTCGGTGCATTCGTATCTAGCGATGCAACGATGTTGGAATCCCGCAGGCGGGTACCAATTTTTGTAATGAAATACGTACTTAACAAATATTCACGATTGACTTCCACGGTGAAGGAATAATATCATGTAATAAAAATGAAACCCGCAAAATTATAATTTGCGTAATTACTGGTGGTAAGACCTCTTGTGAGTCCGCATGGGTAGGTACCACCACCCTGCCTGTTTCTGCCGTGAAGCAGTAATGCGCTCCGGTTTGAAGGGTGGGGCAGTCGTAACCATACTGAGACCTTAGAACTTATATGTTAAGGTAGGTGGCGGCGTTTAAGTTGTAGATGTCTATGGGGTCCAGTAACCACTTAACACCAGGTGGGCTAAGAGCTCGTCTACCCATCTAAGCAATAAAAAAAAAGTTAAATTAATACAGTTCATATAGACATCAAATCAATCGCATCGAAGTTTATAAGGTCTAGTTTATGTAGGAATATGCCAGCATATATACCAGCTTTATGTACAAATGGTTTTAACTAAACTCGATTATACCTGTCTGTTATGCATGCACGCCTAAAACCATCATGCAACACCTAGCGTGTATGACCTCTATAATGGAGTTATGTTCGCGCGCAAACAACCAAGCGGCATAAAATATCAATTTTGATATTTGCTCGGTAGTATGTACATGCACCGATAACTGCACAGTTTAATCACATACACGCTAAGGCTTGCCTGTCGGTTATGCATGCACAGCTAAAGCCATCATGCAAAACCTAGCTGTAAACAGTATAGTTGTACCTACATGTACATTTGTTTATCATCAAGACATCATATTAGCGTCCTTTGTTTATAAACGGTCGCTATTCTATGTTGCGGATAAATTGTAATAATTTACTTCTTAAGCTTACGACTAACTGATGCTTCATACGAAAACTGATCTTCATGGAAAATTCAACCTTCCGAATAATCTAAGTGTTTTTGGAAAATGTCCGCTATATTTACTTATTATGAGTTGTGAAAGCAGTCTGCTCGAACGTCTCAATCCAAGCTTGGATTAACTTGAATACTAATTAAAGTAATGTAGAAGGCTAACTGTAGTTTTCCCTCATGACTAAAATTGCACGAAGCCTCATATACACTCGCGAGCAAAAGTTTGGAATCACTTACTTGGAATTGATTCCGCGCGATCTTGTGTACTAAATATCTTTTTGATAATCATAAAAATGAAATCATTTTAAAGGTTGAACTCTTAACTTTAAACTGATACCAAATTCATTCAAATCGAGCCAGTAGTTAAGGAGTTATTCCGGATTAAGTGAAGAAGGTAGGAAACAAAGGAAATATGGAAAAATAATGAATGCATAAAACAACAAAAATTAATAAATAAAAATTTTATTTAGCCTTAAAATTAAATGTCAGTACTTTGTGTTCCCTTCCCTTTCCCTAATAACTCCTCGAAGACGATTCTTCATAGACCTGATCAGCTTTTGAATTGATTCTTGTGGGATACCTTCCCACTTCTCAATCAACGCCGATTTCAGCTCATTCAGGCATGAAGGAGCAGAAGTTCTGGAACGAACCCTATTCTTCAGTTCATCCCACACGTGCTGAATAGGATTCAAGTCAGGGCTGAGCGCAGGCCAGTCCAATGTGGCGATATAGACTT